TTTTGCAGCTACTCAAGAACTTCCCAACATTTTATGGAACCCGAATGTTCATTGCCGTTTTCACAAGAGCACTCCACTGGTCCCAATTCTGAGCCAGATCAATCCAACCCATACCATCCCATCCTCTCTCTCTCTCTCTCTAAGATCCATTTTAATATTGTCCACCCACCTACGCCTTGGTCTTCCCTGTGGTCTCTTTCCTTCTGGCTTTCCCACTAGTATCCTATATGTGTTCCTCGTCTCCCCCATTCGTGCTACTTGCCCTGCCCACCTCATCCTATCGTTCTAATTATACTTGGAGAAGAGTACAAGTTATGAAGCTTCTCATTATGCAGTTTTCTCCAACCTCCTGTCACTTCATCCCTCTTCGGTCCAAATATTCTCCTCAACACCCTGTCTGTGTTCCTCCCTTAATGTCAGAGACCAAGTTTAATGCAAATAATATTTTAGAAAATTCAGATCCTATCTCACGCAGAGCACTCCTACCGCTCCTACCTCAGTTACACATTACAAAGAAGAGCGGGTGACTTCTGTTAGGGAAATAAGCTCTGTGTGTCCTGAGAACCATTTGAAACGCTTAAATACATTCTGTGGACAAAGTACAGAGTTACTGAACGCTAAAGGAGACGATATGTATGACAACAACAAAGGCACCTTAAGAGGATAAATATAACTTTTTGCTTTGGTATACAGGTTTAGTTTGTCGTTTACGAAGTGTCATCATATATTTTAATAGTTTATTTGACTTTAAAACTAGGATTGTTCGAAATGAATTAAAATAAATAACTTTAAAATGTATGAGTCTGTGCGTACGATGCTTCATTTACCTAATTTTAATAAGTAGAAATCCATAAAAATACTAATGGCGGAATACGATATATTACGGTATTATGATAATTCAAAGGTGCAGAGAAATTCCGAAACTAGTGACTTATGGCTAGAGCTGAAATATCGTTTTGGCTTTTATGAAACATAAAATGATCAAGATAATGAAGGTTTTTTCTTTTAAAAAAATAAGTATATTCACAGTGGTAGATATTAACGTAATCAATTACAAATTATATGTAATACGCTGCAAGGTTGAATTGAGATTATGACTAAGACCAGGGAAGGAGTTACTCTGAAACCTCCTCCCGTAAGAGGTAGGATAAACAAAAAGAGTGACAGTTAAATTGAGCTCATAAAGTAAAGTTTTGTTGTCGAAGGGTCAGTAATTTAGTCATACATAAACACTACAGCAGATGCATGCATGGATGCATATAAACTTGGCGAAATTTTCCTTAATGCATTGTGACTCCACATTTAGGTTACAGTACCAGCTGCTGGGCTTTCTACAACTGTCTTAATGTTCAAGTAAACATGAAACTTACCTTGCTATTTTTTATTATTGTTAGTGGGGTGGGACTAGGTCCTTTGTACTGCGGCCACTTCTGGCCTATTGTACCAGCCCCAGATGATAGGTGAGGGTGATTGTGGAGCAATTGGTGGAATGAAGATTGGCAGGGGAAACCGAAGTACTCGGAGAAAACCTGCCCCAACGTCAATTTGTCCAGCACAAATCCCACTTAATCAGACCCGGCATCGAACCCGGGCAGCCGCGGTGGGAAGCCAGCGACTAACCGCTTGAGCTATGGCGCGGCCATGCGTTGCTATCTTAATGATACAAAACATAATTCATGTATAAGTTTGGAAATAACTGGAGAAATGATTACATAAGTTCTTCAGGTGATAACAGCCAATTGTAGGGGTGCAAGAAAAGAGGGTAAGTATATGCCTCTTATCTTGCGTAAAATAATTCTAATCATAATAATCATAACCATATTTCTTGCGATATATTTAAATATTGGGTGTATTTCAAAAACCTCCGTAGAGGATAATTTGTAGACCTGTTTCCCTGCGTCGGATAATTTCAGTCCTAACAAGTAGACATACCAAATTTCTCAGGATATATTTTAATATTGGGATAATGCGATTACGTCGTTAGGCATTAAGTGCAGTCATCTTATCCTGCTTAGGATAATTTTAATCCTAATAATCAAAACCACATTTCTTATGTATGTTTTAATATTGATGATGTCACCACAGAAACTATGAAGATTACCCTCTGTGGGGGTGAAGCTGTTTACCCTGGTAGATACGTGCCAGAGATTCGGAGAACACTTGGAACTTGATCGTCTTAATTCAATCAACATAATTAGGCCAGAAAGTAATTATGATGTTTCAAAAATTCGCAGATCTTTACATATGAAATACTTGCAAATATTATCATCTTTATAATATTATAGGCCTAGGCATGAATTTCTTAAAATAAAAGGTAAAATTATTTTTTCCCGATACTTTACGAGCGCTATTTTTTTTTTTCGTAATTTGTTTCAAATGATGAATGAATGTTATTTTTATAGCCTATACTGAATTGTATTGTAAACCTGTGGGTGAAATTATTCCTTGATCAATCCCATGATAAGTGGTACAGAGGTATATACATTCACACACAAATATGAAAGCATGAAAATACCGTATTACATTTACGGTAGAATATATTCCATATTGTTGAGAAATAAATACAGAAATTAGCACTAATATTTCTACAATTCATAATAACCTTTGTAGATATACACGACAGTTATCGTTAAACATTTAGATAAGTTATTTAACGTATTTTAATATTCTATAAACTCCGTATCACTCACTCACTCACTCACTCACTCTCTCTCGGCCCTGAGCCCTTCTTGAGAAACCGCCAATTGTGCAACTACTCAAGAACTTTACAGCATTTTATGGAACCCGAAGGTTCACTACCATGTTCACAAGAGCTCTCCACTGGTCCCCATAGTGAGCAAGATCAATCCAATCCCTACCATCCCATCTTATCTCTCTAAGATCCATTTTAATATTGTCCACCCACCTACGTGTTAATCTTCCTAGTGGTATCTTTCCTTTTGGCTCTCCCACCATTATCCTATATGCATTCCTCTTCTCCCTCATTTTTGCTACATGCCCTGCCCATCTCATCCTCCTTGGTTTGATGATTCTAATTATATTTGGAGAAGAGTACAAGTTATGAAGCTCCTCATTATGCAGTTTCCTCCAACCTGCTGTCACTTCATCTCTCCTCGGTCTATAAATTCAGTATATTAATATTGTAGAGGCCGGTCACGGTAGCCGAGCGATCTAAGGCATGTACTGTCTTCGCTCGCTTGGAAACCGGGATCGTGGGTTCGAATCCCACTCAGGGCATGGATGTTTAGTTTGTGTGTGTGCGTTTTTCTGTGTCTGTGTACAGGTAGAGGCCTTGCGACGAGCTGATCACCCGCCCAAGGTGTCCTACCGAACGTGTAAGATCTAGAAAAACCGAAGTGAACGGAGAAGTTCATGGAGGTAGGCCTAGACCCACTGGGGCTGTAGTGCCAAGGAAAAAAAAAATGTAGAGATATCTTGCGATCTTAACGTCTGTGTGTGTTATACAGCCCTAGGTTTGTAGGCCTATATGTAGGTCTGTTGCATACTTATGTCAGGTTTTATGTTGAGTTAGGGGTCACTATTCTTTCTTACATTCTCATGATTAATTTGGATTCCGTGTACAGTATTATCTTGTGGCCGTGCTGTCCGGTATATCAGATGCTGAGTGAGACCGTCACAACCAGATCATCCCTTACATTTCTATGTCTGAGCCAGCTCTATATACACGTATGTAATCGTCTTTGGACCTGTACTGAGGGGTTGGATATTGGGTTCTCGTTTAAATCAAGGAAAAACAGGTCACATTTCTGTGCGCTTTAGTCTCATAAATATCGCCAGTTCAAACTGACAAGTGTGAAAATGTGCAGGATTTATGTAACTTAAAGCATATCAAGTTTATTAACAACTAAATATAATGTTTCATTTGTGTTAGAAAACGTCTAATTTAATTGCCAATATTCAGATACAAATCCCATTATTTCTTCTGGTATTTTTCATATAATTTATTTTCTTGTCAGGAGTCGAGTTATTTTATTGCTAGTGGGGTGGGACTAAGTCCCTTGTACTGCGGCCACTTCTGGCCTATTGCACCAGCCCCAGATGATAGGTGAGGGTGATTGTGGAGCAATTGGTGGAATGAAGATTGGCAGGGGAACCGAAGTACTCGGAGAAAACCTGCCCCAGCGCCACTTTGTCCAGCACAAATCCCACTTGACCAGACCCGGGATCGAACCCGTGCCGCCGCGGTGGGAAACCAGCGACTAACCGCTTGAGCTAGGGCACGGCCCTCAGGAGTCACGATGCTTCAGTCGGTATTGAGATCGCGCTAGGGGCAGGATGACCCGACGTTTCGGGGTTCGCCTTCCAGCAGATGCAAAATATCTAGACCAACTCTGTGGCCCTCCCAGCCCTTAGCAGGACTACCGAAGGCTGTTGTGAAGCTGGCCATTCACCTCCCTCTATTGCTGAGGTTCCCCTCCCCCTGTGTCTTCATGGCGTGATGCTTGATTAAAGGCAGAGACTACTTTACTCTTTCTTTTACCTTTACCCTTTACCTCTATTTTTGACCGATTTCCTTCCCTCTGATTTCGAGCTTCATTACTGCATATATCCAATTTACCCCTGTTCAACATAGATTTCACAAGAATACAGTTTCGTTATCTAGCATAAGTTTAGTGTGCAATGTCATATATCTAATTTAAGAGGGTAGCAGGAATATCTCAGTCAGTATAGCGACTGACTAGGGGTTGGACGGCAGAGGGGTCTGGGTTAGAGTCCCGGTAGGGGCAAGATTTTTCTCCTCTCCGCTTCGTCCAATTTGGCGCTGGGGCCCACTCAGCCTCCTATCCAACAGGAACCGGGGAATCTTTTCACGAAGATTAAGCGGCCGGGACGTGAAGCTGACCACCTACTTATCCATTAGTGCCGAAGTCAAGAATACATGGATCTATACATCCGCTCCCCCTTACGTCTTCGTGGCGTAGTGCTTAATTAGTTAAGTAGAGATACAGCTCTATTTTTTATTTAATTAAAGAACTTACCTTGAAAAGGGTATCCTGTGAAGTAAGGTGCCATGTTCAGTGTAGACACAGCCATCGAACAGCGTTTGATAAACAAGTCTGCTCTATCGAGGTGTATGGTGTGGTCAGTTCTACAGAAGATAAAACACGACTGCCGGATGTATGCGATCACACGAACACGTGGCTTTGTATCTTGAATCATGCGCCCATTAAGATCTTCCTCCCCACCTCACACGTCAGAAATAAAATAAAACAGAAATATAATTAACACTTCTGGAAAAACTGCACTCGCGTTCCTAGTATTGCTGTTGATTTGAAAACAAAGCTCCCTGCATACGTTGTCATAGAAACTTGTGAGCAAATAATTGTTGCTTTATTTCTCAAGTGTCTGTCGCAATAAAATCAAAATTCTATAGATTTATTTACAGGAACTAGGCACTTATTTTAAGGACACTTTAAGTAAGTCACAGAAAAGGAGATGATGTGGTGGGCTCTCCACGTTTGGAAGTCCGGGTGGATACTGACAAGTCTGTTGGACAGTTCAGTTACGTTCCAGGGGGCACTCGTGTCAGTACACGCCTCCTTCTCCTTCCCACGGATGCTGCAGTTACCGGACCACGCCTCCTAAAAATACAATTTACCGCGCGGCGATCGGCTTCTCTTTGATCTTGACGTAGGAATTCTCTGATTGGTCGGTTAAGTTACGAGAAGGTGTGGCGATATGTGAAAGAACCCATGCAACTGCAGGTAAAAAGACATGGAATTCTGCCCCCCTCCCCCTATGTAGGGGCACCACTTCTTCTCAGCAACCAGTATGTACCACCCCGCTCAACATACACGTAGTCTTGGAACATAACATTATTTGATAGTTAGTTCCTATCTTAGAGCATTTCATTTACATTTCTTTGTCATTATTATTATTATTATTATTATTATTATTATTATCCTGGAAGACGGGCGGAAAGGCATGACAAGTTATGCATCTGGATATTATAATAATTTATTTAAAAATGAGGTCGCACACAACGCATTCAATTTACGGCTGAGTTATCAGAAGTGTGCTTCCACCGGACACGATTTTTGAGATATCAGATTATTTGACAATAAAATCAACGTCAGTTACTTTAAGGGGGTGGCATTGTACATAGAAATTTAACACAAAATATTAAATTCATTAGTCGAAAATAAAGTTTCTTTTTATACCAGAATTAAATGTTACAATTGCATGTATCTTATTATGAAGCAGACAATTCTTCGAAAGCACATCTTCTCTCTCTGTCGCTCTACAGCCCTCTGTTGGACCTTGGCCACATTTTCAGTTTCTTAATCCTATACACCGTCGGTATGACTCCTTGGATGGGGGACCAGCCTGTCGCAAGGCCATTACCTACACATAGAAGAACACAAATACAGAATAAACGCACACAGACATCCACGCCTTGAGCGGGATTCGAACACACGATCCCAGTGTTCGAGCGGTCGAAGGCGGTTCATGCCTTAGACCATGGAGCCACTGTGGTCGGCACAAGAGCGACATGCCGCGTGCAAATAACAGGAAGTTCTTCCTACAATAATGATTACTACAAATCAAAAGAGACCTAATAAGTTAATTTAATTTGAAATGTAAATTCCTCAACAAATGAATATGAAAATTTGAGCAAAGAGTGCAGCTTTTAAGGCATTGCCGGCGTGTATTAGTAAGAAATACCTGCAAGTTTCTATCCCGCAATGCATGCCGGTAGGGAGACGGGCAAGCCACGTTGGATTTTTTAGGGGAAAATAATTTAAATTGAAACAGGAAGGAAATTGCCAAATAAGAGTACCAGAAATTAAAATTATTATATAAATAGTGTTTAAGCCGGAATATTCTAGGGCTATTAGTAAAAAGAATATATATGAAACTGCTTTAAGGCAAGTTTGCAAATGAATGCCCCCCCCCCCCCCATATATCCTGGAGGCGCCAATGTATTCAGTTATGGCAGTATTTTGTCATCATGGTCTCCATCGTGAGTCCAGGTTGCCACGCCTTCCAACTATGTCTTCCTTATTCGACTTCGTCTTTTTGCTGTTTACGCCTGTCTGCAATTTGTAATTTTTTTATTATCCTTGAACACGTCAGTACTTGTAATTAGTATAAATGTCAGAGATTGCCTAGACCTATGTATGTTTCCATCGAACAACCTTTTCGAAATATCAAGTGTAAGGTACATGTTTCGGTGGTGTTAAATGCCACCACCAGAATTTTCTTACGTAAATGTGTTAATAAAATGTCTTAATATCAGCGTATTTTATTTGTAACTGTATTAACGATACATATGTAATATGTAAAAATGCTCATGCGCACAAATTTAAGTAAATTTGTAAAAAAAATCAGAGTCCCAGGAGGAAAGTCAATATTCTGAAGGTCATAATATCGGTCATACGTACATGTGTCCTATTCCGAACGGTTTCCGAGATAGAGCTATGAATTTCCCTGCACAGTACACTGTACACTGTACAGACGAGCAACACGCCATACGCTCACACGAGTTGCACCGAGATAGAGCTATCTCACTGTACAGTACAGACGAGCAACACGCCATGTCCTCGCACGAGTTGCACCGAGATAGAGCTATCTCACTGTACAGTACACCATACACTGTACAGACGAGCAGCACGCCATGTCCTCACACGAGTTGCACCGAGATAGAACTATTTCACTGTACAGTACAGACGAGCAACACGCCATGTCCTCGCACGAGTTGCACCGAGATAGAGCTATCTCACTGTACAGTACACCATACACTGTACAGACGAGCAGCACGCCATGTCCTCACACGAACTGCACCGAGATAGAGCTATCTCACTGTACAGTACACTGTACACTATACAGACGAGCAGCACGCCATGTCCTCACACGAGCTGCACCGAGATAGAGCTACTTCTCTGTACAGTACACTGTACACTGTACAGACGAGCAGCACGCCATGTCCTCACACGAGCTGCACCGAGATAGAGCTATTTCTCTGTACAGTACACTGTACACTGTACAGACGAGCAGCACGCCATGCCCTCACACGAGCTGCACCGAGATAGAGCTATTTCTCTGTACAGTACACTGTACACTGTACAGACGAGCAGCACGCCATGCCTTCACACGAGTTGCACACGAGATGTTGACGGTGGAATTTTCGAAAATGTATTATACCAGGTAAACTGCACCAACTTTGTCACTTGAACAGTAAATACCGGTATTAGAAACAATACGTAATATCTCTTTCTTATCAACAATTTTGGAACTGTACTATGAAATAGCTGTATCTCGGAAACCGTTCGGAAATAGGACACGTGTACATACTGCATACACACTTCTTTGATAGAATAACCGAAACTATGGCCTCTCAGAATATTGACCTCTCCTCCCGGGACTTTCTGTATTTAGGCCTGTGTTTATATGATAGTATTTTTTTATGAAATGTTGTACTTCTTGTGTTGATGGTGTCTGAGTTCTAGTTGTGTCTGTTGTACAAAATGTGGAAAGAAGGAATTTCTGGCGTATATAATGTATTTGATTTTTTCATTCTGGTCCGTCACACTAATATCATAAAAAGTTAAACAGTTCCGTCCGGTGTGACTGGTGAAGATTTTTCGAACCTGCTTGGTTTACGTATTCCAATAGAATCTTATCAAACTAAATATAAGTATTTTAATGTACTGGAACTGCCGCTGTAGTTGTAAAGACTTGAGATTTTATACCCAATTGTATATTATTAATATTGTATGTATACATTTTAACTTTCAGAACATATATTGTAACAGTGGCTTCTAACTGTAATGATGTAAAGGTGTCCCTCTGATGATGGTCTCTGAAGACCGAAACATGTGAGGGCATAAATAATTGAAATAAGAAAAATCTTCACCAGTCACACTGGACGGAACTGTTTAACTTTTTGTGATATAATATGTATGTTTAAATTAAGCAAGTAATTTTGAGGAATTTCTCCTAATAATGTAAGCTGTTAGAAATAATGTATGGACTTGGCAATTTTGAATTTATCCGAGGTGTGTCTGGCTGTGAACTTACGCGTAGCAAGTGGGATATGCCTATAACAACTTCGAATAGGAGGGTTATGAGGACCTCTGTAGTTGTTCTCCAGGTGAATTTTTTCTCTTGATTTCTCACAAGTGTGAAATCTTTCGAGTATATCAAAAAATCTTAAAATTTATATAAAATTCTATGAAATTTAAACGTCAAGCTACCTTATATATAGCCTAGGCTATTGTGCATCATTATTTATTTTGCCTGTGAAAGAAATTCAGACCTGTGATTTGGCATTTTGTAAATGAAAGAAACTGTAACTATTAAAATGTATTCATTTGTATTGTCTTGTCCTCTGCATACTCAAAAATATTCCCTTGTCGCCGTGGATCCGCAACAAAGACATGTTATTATTATTATTATTATTATTATTATTATTATTATTATTATTATTATTATTATTATTATTATTATTATTATTATTATTATTTTAACTGAAAATGGGTTTCTGCCGGTGGCAGTGGTACTACACTAAGACACAACGCACAAGTAACACACATCACAGAAAATAACATACCACACTCAAACAAAACACAGCACACGAAACTACACAAACAATGAAGGACACACCACACACGATGAATACAACGCAATTGCAACTACAACAAATACAATTACAACTACGATTATATAAATTAATATTAATAACAAAATAAGTACACTATACACTAAACAGTAACAGTAAGAAAATACATAATGTCATGAACTGATACACTCACATTTCACCATGGCCTTCCCTTCATTCCACTTCACTGCATTTTTTGATGATTTTGTTCACATTTTCGCTTCGCCCAATTTAACTCTTTCCTAACACTTTCCCTAAAATTACTTGGTTCATAGTAGAGTGTCCCTAAAGAATCTGCAGCTTCCAGATCTGTATGGTCCTATTTACAAAGGAATATTTTTCAATATCTGTCTTTTGCTTTCTGCTCCTAATTTTCCTATCTTGATGAAACCTGCTCAGATAGCATGGCCTTTGTACTCTATCATCTATAGCATTTCAAGCGCGATCTCCCGTGTACGCTTTGAAGAAAGCACATAAGCGAGCTATCTTTCTGTGCTGTGTCAAGGTTTCACAATTCAAATAATTTCTGTGATGTGCAAATTTAGCCGCCATGTTTTGCACCCGGTCTAGCGCATTCATCTGTGCCTCCCTGTAAGGATCCCAGCACGCCGCCCCATATTTCAGAATCGGACGCACTAAAGATGTGTGGGCTAAACATTTAGTGTTACTATTTCTCGTTTTTAGAAAACGCATTGTAAAATGAAGTGCCTTCCAGGTTTTTTTCACCGTGTAATTAACTTGACCAGCCCAACTTAGATCGCTGCTTAAAATTATTCCCAGATATTTACAACTTCTCGCTTCCGGAATTACTCTGTCCCCTAACGAATAATTCAGCGGTTCCTTCACTCGGGCTCTCGTGAAA